TTTAAGGAGAAAGTACACAGCAATGGTGTTGATTAATAGATTGGCACATGGTTTGTCTAAAAGCATATTAAAAACACCACATAGACAAATAAACAACATAAAAAACTTGATTTTCACTACAGGGGGACTTTAAATTATGTTTAACCTTCGGACCTTGATACACCACAACAGATTCATTTCCAGAAATCAATTTCCTTCCATTTCTTAAGTGTTAAAAAGATTTGGGGGATCGTATTGTTTTTGTTTATGCTCACCTAGGCTGCATTTATTTGAGCAAAAATATAGTAAAAACAGTACCATTGTGATGTATTTTACAATTTCAGCATAATTACTACAGTCTTCAGAGTCACATGATCCTTCAGAATCATTCTATGCTGATTTGCTTGCTGCTCAAGAAGCAGTTATTATTTGAAAACAGTTGTGCTGCTTCATATTTTTGATACATTTCTTTTAATGTATCACTGTCTATCACATTTTAATGAATGCATCATTGCTAAATAAAAATAGGCCTATTAATTCATTTAAATCTTAATCCTCTCTCTCTCTCTCTCTCTCTCTATAACAAACATTTTTTTTTGTTCAAATGTGTTGACAACTGTTGGTAGTTTCCTGGTACTGAGAAGGAAATATCATTTGTAGCACTGCATGCACAGTTATTATCAACATGTGCTGATCATCTTAAAATGACAAATATATGCTGTTTAATAGGCCTTGCCGATATATATCACTCTGTCGCTACTATGTTGTCTTACAGACAGGGACAGAAATTAAGCAGTGCGTGGTGCAAAAATGCTATCGAAAACGACTAAAATGCCTCCGATTTAAAATATGGGGCTGTGAAATGTCCCAGTAGAGCATTCATCTGTTTATTTTTATCTGTTATCTAACATTGTACATATTTCATTATATTCTATTTTAAGTCTATCTAGTGATGGGTTTAGTATGGATTTAGTGCCTCTCAAGAAATTGTAGCTGTCAGATTTATTCTGTTTTCGCTGTTTCAGATGCGAGTGTTGTTGAATACCCAAGCAAGTGTTTTTTGATTGCAGGAGGACGGGAGACTAAAATAAGCTCAGCTGAATGTAAGGAAACATTCTCAAGAACTCCAATCCACATACATACAAATCTCACCACGTAAAATCGAATATGAATCATGGGACAATTATTTAAAATTCATATGGCAGAGTTTTTCATGATATCATTTGCATCGAAGTCCCTTTAAGAGTATTCTATAGTCTTTGATTTGCATTTGATGTTGATTCAGTTTTAAAGGTAATGGTTACATACATGTGCATTTCTTTAAGTGTCTTTCTTTTCTGCTTTTTGCCAAGTCTGTGAATATACCACTTTTTCAACTGTAGGCCTGTAAGTAAAGACGTCCCTTAATAGTACTCTCATTTCCAATTTTTCTTTCTTTTCATTCCTCATTATCACATTCATGTGTCAAAAAAAGGAAGTTGGAAAACAATGTAATTACAAACGTCAACCTTGCAAACATCACCCCACAACACTTGTTGATTGCTCACAGCTGGACCGATGAAAATGTCAAGCAAAATGTGTAATTGAAGAAAGTAAAAATTGCACAACATATGAATTTTACTGGCATAAAGAGCCTTATTCTTGCTTGCTCAGGTTTGTGATTTAGATCAATTGAAAAAAAACAAACAAGCAAATCGGCATCAAAAATGGATTTAAAAAGCAAAGTGCCAAATGCTTTATTAAAATGCCGTTTAAAAGGCATTTTTTATATTCAAACAATGTATAATTGCTGTATTTGTGATGTTTTTAACTTTTAAGACTTATAAAAATATGTGTGACCCTGGACCACAAAACCAGTCATAAGGGTCAATTTTTGGAAATTTAGATTTATACATCATCTGAAAGCTGAATAAATAAGCTTTCCATTAATGTATTTTTTTTTTTTTTTAGGATAGGACAATATTTGGCCGAGATACAACTATTTGAAAATTTGGAATCTGAGAATGCAAAAAATCTAAATATTGAGAAAATCGCCTTCATCGTCCAAATTAAGTACTTAGCAATGCATATTACTAATCAAAAAATAAATTTTAATATATTTACGGTAGGAAATGTACAAAATATCTTCATGGAACATGATCTTTTCTTAATATCCTAATGATTTTTGGCAAACAAGAAAATCTATGGTTACATAGGCTATGTGAATTAAATAAAACTGTAAACAGTCAATTTGAAAAGTTTTTTGTTCATTTACATTTTTGTTAATAAAAATTTATTTTTTATGACACTCCTAGTCTCCAATATATATGATGTGCAGACCTGTTTGAAAGGGGTGTTTATAAATTTTACTACTAATCTACACTTTTATCACAAGGCAAAAATATCTGAAAGCACATTCAAAAACTTGACATGGATTTATCCCAAAAGAAACAGGACTTTATCGCAGATCGAAATAATACAGTTAGGCACTATTATTCTGGTGTGCAATGCGGCTTTCCTCGCCCTGGACGTTGTTTCCCTCTCTGGTCAGCTCTCGCGAGAATGCACGCGCTACCCCCTTTCCCGTCCACTCCCACCTCTCGCGAGATCTCGCGTCCGAAGGATGGTGTTGTGCTAGAGGGAGTGGGAGAGGAGGGTGAGGGGTACCCACAAAGATGTTGCGTGATTTTTTGTAAATTTATTTATTTAAATAAAAATGGCCGCCGCAGAGAGCGGAGAGGAGAGACTGTAAGTGTGAATCGCATCCATACCCATTGTCAGGGATTCCAATGTCAGGCGTCGCGAGCGGCGATGGCGTCGGTTTTGATCGTCGCTGTGATATTTTGTCAAGCAGGCGCAGGCTGAGGGGGGGATGTTAGCCGCGCTAGCCCGCGAAGGCGTTGAGATACGTCACTCGCATTTCTCCCGCTCTTTTTCCACGATCAGCGGACACTTTGTGCGGCACGCTTTAGTCCGGTGTCGTAAAAACTCTCCTGAAATCTGGAGCGAAGGGCTGCCTGGGGGTTTGGACGCACACATGTTTTGCTTTGCTGATATTAGCGGCTCTTTCGCGCGAACATTACGGCGCTCCTGTGTTTTTTAATTCCGAAGCGCTCGTTAGCTGTCAAAAACAGCGGACTGAAGTAAGTTAGCTCGCTTGTGGTGCTGCAGGACAAGGAAGGGGACCGAAATGAGATTTGCTCCAGATATATCTGCCTGTCCTGTTGTGGAAAGGCTCGACGGAGTGCTTAGAAATTAGGTTAAGATGCGTTTTAGTCCAGTGCAAAGCTGTTGTGCTGTGTAGGTAGCTGTGCATCATCAGGTACCAAGTTTGCATATGCAAGCAAGTTGGCCAGTGTGCTATTTCTCTGCCTTATGTCACTGCGTGCGTCGCTGTGTTGTTATTGCTGCTCGTTTTGCTCCTGCAGCATGCAAACCATGTAACTCCGGGTGTAAAACACACTGTTGTGCTTCTCGCATCACTGAAATATAGATATTCCGCTTGCTTTAGCAATGCACAAGGCACTCCCATGTGAGAGCAGGCTGGTGATATTGTTGAGCTGACTTCCGGTAGCCAGCTAACAGATCTAGCAGCATCGTATTTGTCTGTATGTGTGTGTGTGGTCGACCGCAGGAGGATTTGCACGAACTGAGTGACATGCAAGACACAATGCTTCATGTCTTCTGCGCATACTTGTGACAGACAGGTCTCGAAGGCTCAACTTGCATCCTGTGCAACTTCTCCCTGTGTTGCATGCTCCATGAATTCATTGCAAGGGCAGGTACTGGCTAGATGAAACATTTTGTTTGCCAGCCGTGGAATATTTTCTCAAACTCAAAACAGGTTATTATTTTGAACATTTATTATGAATTTCATTTGGTCACTAAAATCTTGCTTTGAAATGTACTGGAAGTATTTTTTACTCAGAAATTGCTAGTAAATTTTGACAAAACGTTACAAGAAAATGGCAAGGAACACTGAATTAAACATTAAATTTTAAAGCAGAAAAACTGAAAGATTTTTTTTTCTTGTAAAACGTTCTCTAATAATCTTTATTTACAACTTTACAGTGGGGCAAGTTTTCGACATTGTGAGTCAAAAGGTCTCTGGTTTTATGATGTATTTTCAAAGACAGTTGTTCATTATGGTTAAACATGGTCCTTGATTGTCCAACATGGTATAATTGTTCATGTTTGATTAGGTTTTATAAGAGGAGCTGTCTAATGCACATATTAATTGATTTCCAGCAGAGGTTCAAGGCCTTCGCTGCCTCCTACTTAATACTAAATTGAACAGTCAACGTTCACGATAAAAACGTAATTATGACCAATACCAATTAGCTTTCATTAAGGTTCTTTAATTGACTTGCCTCCAACAAAGTCGTGGCTTAAAAAAACTTATGACGTGCTGTTGTTCATTTGTGTTCATCTCATAAATGGGTAGTTCATGCTTAAAGGTGGGGTAATCGATTTCCGGTAGCCAATGTTGACATTTGAAATCACCAAAACAAACCCACAAAAAGGGTCTCGCCCCTATTTTGATAGCTCCGCCCCGTACATACGTACGCAACCCAGGCAACGATTAGTTCTGTGAAACAAAACAAAACCAATGTTACACCGTGTCAACACCGGATGCGAGTGGCGCGGCGCGAGAACTCATTATAATCAGTGATGCTGTCTACATCATAGATATATATACATATCTATGGCCTACACTGGATGCGGCACGACATGACAAATCCCCGACAAAAAAATGCTGCTGCGTTCTATTTATGACGTATTGACACAAATTTCAAATGATTTTCAACGGTCGCTTTGTCGTGTCCAGTGTACTAGACAGACTTTAGCTGTTGCGGCACAGACACGGTGTTACTCACCTATCGAGAAGAAACAAAGCAACCTCGGCGTCCGATCGCAGGCCTTCTGCTCCTTGAGTTCTCTCCAGCACTGGAAAGCTGATCTGATATTTACACGGGTCCTACTTCTTGCCTTATTGCCGCCTTTTGTTCCGCAGACGTTTTCCTCTTTTGTTTTTTTATCCGCCATCTATCTTTCTGTCACTCGGCTCGGCTAATGTCCTGTGCTGTGCACTGAACGTTCTCTCCTCCACTTCATGAGTAGACACTCCCCTTACTGCTGATTGGCTACAAGTTTGTTTTGCTACGGGCCCGAATCTGTTTTCTAAAGCGTTTTTGAAAAATCGCTTACCCCACCTTTAAGGTCAGATCTATAAATTATTCCATGGCTAACAAACAGTATCTGCCCTAGCAATAATTTCATGGAGCATGATACAGAAGTAAATTAATAAATGTGAATGCATAAGATTAAGTTAAAATGTATGTAAATAAGGGAAACGATATATTAAGTCATGTGAGACTGGACTTTTAATAACGTAATACGTCTTCAACTCATTTTAGGTGGTCCTGCAGTGTGGATCATTTTACAAATATTGATGAAATGCAAATATTCCATGTAGTTTCTCATTTAACATGAGGTCATAAAAGTTGCATACATATATGCAAAATATATAAAAAAAAGGTTTTGCAAGTCACATTGCAGGACGTGAACTTCCCAAAAATGTTTTATGTCAGAACTGGCATATATGTTCTGCTAAAGTTATGAACTGATACAGGTTTTGCCTAAAATTACACTTATTAACAAAGTAATTGTAGAAATGCATATTCACGACACTTGCTCTTTAAAAGATATAAATCAAGAAGTCAAGTGAATATCACTGAGAATGTAGCACAGTCTGCGGAAGTTTGTTTGGGTTTATCAGTTAAAAACACTAAAAGTTCATTCTTTTAAACTTACTTTAAGAGTGTTAAAGAGTGTCAGTCCTCTTTTCTGTGTCACCAAGCATTTAAATCTTATTCAGAGTCGCCAGAACCTCAATATAACTACTCATCCCATGAACCGTGATGCAATTGTTTTAAAAAATGTGAAAACTAAAACTGGTTGATTTTAAGCAAAACAGCATTCAATTCTAAATGATGTTCATTGCAGAATATTTATATGGATTTAAGTAGTTTGAGACTTGATGATGTTATTTGCAATGCTTTTTGAGAGTGAGCGGTCACTGCAGAACTATTTTGCTGTGATTTCAATTTCTATATAAATGTTTTGGTGTGCATCTCATTTTAGGATTATGGATAGCATAGTTTTTCACTGGGAATTTCACTGGAAAGAAACCATTTTAAATTAAATAATTTATATTAAGCAACTTTTAAAAAGGAAGTTTTCGCTGACCTCTACAGAAGCATATATAATATGATCGCTTAACAGTCTTTAAGCTCATGGATTGGCCAGCTATCCAGTGCGTTGTGATTGGCCAAATAACTCAAACGTGTGACGGAAATGTTACGCCCCTTACCATACTGTGATTAGGGTTGCAAAGGGATGGAAAATTTCCTTACATTTCTGGAAACTTACCAAAATTCCCTGGAATATTCCAAAAAATCCTGGAAAGTTTACTAAATTTCTGGAATATTTCCGAAATTTACTGGAAATTTTCCACCTTTTTTGCAACCCTAACTGTGATGCCGTGTCCCGGCGCGACGAAACAAAACCAATAAAACCCATTATAAACGAGGCATTTGTTGCATCCAGTGGGGACATAATTACGGATTATAATGACTCATACTGTCTTTTTATGCGTTGCGTTGCATCGCGCCGCGTAAACATAAAACCATGTCTGCATTTGTGATCGGAGAAATGACAAACAACAAGCGCTACTCTACACTGCCCAAAACTTACGTTTGAATCGTCAGTGGCAAATTCTTTAAATATGAAAACGTACTTACAGGCTGTGAGTCAGAACAGCCGGCATTGTAGTCTACTCTCCCAGGAAACAGTCCTCCATAAAATGCGCTGCACACATCTGAATATTTGGGTTGAACTGTTCTGGAACAGTGTTGTAAATACAACTTAACCACTGATTTCTAGTTGTGTCCTCTTTTGGAAGTCCAAACAAAGTATTTTCGCTTTCGCAACGAAACACACAGCGTCTCCACGACATGGCGGCGGCAACAACAATACTACAGAGAGAATAAAAGTTACGCCTTAAACTTGAAATCGCATCATATGACCCCTTTAAAACCTGTGAAATTGCATTGTGGGAGATGCTACTCCACATTGTTAGCTCACGGTTTATAGTGCAGATTAAATATTCTAGCTATACTTCACGTGCATACTAAGTGCAGCATATATAGTCATAAATTGGCTAAATGCAATTCAAATATGTACCTTTATTTGCAATATAGCATGATAATGTGCTAAAATTGAATACGTCTAATGAATGTTTGTTTTTAACTTTCTGTTTTAATCTTCTGTTTCGGAGGTGTGGTGACTCTTGTTGATGTACTGAAACATGTCAGCAACTATTTTTGCAGACTGTTAGTCATTGTTAAAGTGAGTGTAACATAAAAGAACAAAGTAACTATTTGTTTCAGCTTTATGTACCTGGTAAACTTTGTGGATGTGTTCATCACCTGAGTTTTCCTTCTGAAGTTCAACACTGTTCTGTCATCGAAAGTGACAGCATTTGAGCTTAAAACATGTGGGATCTGTTACAGTTAGAAACGACTGAAGAAAAAGTTCAAAATAAGTAGGCAGCATGTTTTGGTTAGTTATTTTTCCCTTTCTTTCTTTGCTGTAGATATGGAAATGAAGTTCACAATATATTTGTTTCATTGTGATCTGATGTTTTTATGGACAAAATATTGTGACCACCATGTGGTTACGATGACAACAACATATGTTTAGAGTAATCTGCCAATTAAGTTTAAGGCAAATTAAGTTGATCATTGTGTAAAAATGACAAAGAGTTTGCTGTCGCCTAGAGCAGTGTTTCCCAACCTTTTTTTAGTCGCGGCACCCCTTGGAAATTTTAACAAACTTGTGGCACCCTACAAAATAAATTGTTACAATATTTGAATTTCTAACTTCGATGTGATAATTTGAAAAGTATAGATATTCGGTACAACGGAAGAACTGCAGAATATAATGTCATACAGATATTTTTAATATTATTAAAAAAATTTGTCCATCAATGGTGGCAATCAGTATGCTAATTTCTAATGAAGAGACCAATTTATATGACAGATTTTAATGTAGGCTTTTATACATATGTAAACATTATTTAATTACCATTATAACTAGCTATCTCACATATTTTTGCTCACTCAGTGTTTTTTTTTTATTTTACATTGGGGTAATTTTGGTGCAGTAGCACGAGATAGCTTGATTTCAAACTTTGAATTGAATAAAAAATGACAAGTAAGCAGTCAGTAATAAAATAAGAACAAATAAAGAAATTAATAATGATAGCACAAATAAAAAATAACGACAGGCCTTTGAATTAAATAAATTTTAATTGCAGACAGAAACAATACTGTACTACATCGATGTTTCCTGTCGGCTCAATTTTTGAGTGGACTTTGCTGTTCCGATTCGCATGAACGGTATATGAGTGGAGCAACTGAGCGGAGCGCACACGCATAGAGCGGGATAACACGCAGAGCGTCACACCACGTGAAAGTGAAACCTGAGCGGTGAACTAATTTTCGGCAGCCGAAATTTCGGTGCATCTCTAATTATTGGCGACATCAGAAATGGATATTATATAATAAATGCTTTTTTGAACATTTTAGCAATTTAAAAATATTAAAAAAGGATTTTTTTACACGGCACCCCGGTTGGGAAACACTGGCCTAGAGGGACAAGCCACAGACAAGCGGGAAATTCCTCCGTTCTCTGAAGACACAATGATTCAACCTCCACGTCAAGGTTTTGCTTGACACGGGCGTCTCGACACCTCTAGGGTGGTTTCCGTGTGTCTGTAAGCAAGAGTAGAAATCAAATTGAACGTGTTTCTCCTGAAGTTACGAAATAGATACATCCTAGAATCAGGTTTCACATGACGCCTAAAGATGTTAAGATGCGAATTGCATCAGTTTATTCGGTTAACTGAGTTTTATGCTAACACTTCAAATTCGGGCCACATCTCGCCTGCTCATTGGTGGCATTTAACAGAGCTTGTGTGATCTGAAAATGAGCATGCTTTGATGCCAAAATATTGAATTTATGATGGCAAATGTGCAAGCGCAGCACTTCTGTTCAGTTTAAAACATACTTCATAGACATTTAGACAAATGGTTGACTTGAATACGGACCCATAAGACTGTCATCCTGTCTCAGTGTGCCACTTATTTCTTGTGTTGTCAGCAGAGGTGTGGACAAGAATGAAGACCAGGAGGGCTCAAAAGACAAGACGCAGAAGCAGAAGAAAAACAAAAGGGAACGGCAAGATGTGGAAAAACTCGAGGCCACAGTGTCCGTTCCTCCACCCCCGCCCCTCCTTACGCAGGGGGATGTTGGACAACAGACAGAGGCAGGGAAGTCTGAACCCACTGACCCTGAAGTTGGAGCTGCTCTCAGCGCTCCAGAATCTTCCGCATCGGCCAAGCAGCGGCGTTCCATCATTCGGGACAGAGGCCCACTGTATGATGACCCTTCACTGCCTCAAGGTTGGACGCGCAAGCTGAAACAGCGCAAGTCGGGGCGATCCGCTGGAAAATTTGATGTCTACCTGATCAAGTTAGTGCAAATTGCTGGAAGTTAGTGCTTTTTTGAGAGCGACTGAGATGATATTCGTTTCGTAATGCTGCGTCCAAATAACACACATGCAACAAATCAGTCATTATGAAAGTTAGGTTATTGTGTTTGAAGAGTCATTGACTTCTAATTAAAAGGGACGGCATGCTGCTTCGCAACAAAACTAAACCTGCTAACACTGGAAGTACCAGTTAGGCCCTCATTTAATATGCTATATTCCTCGTTTACATATGTTTACATATATCATGAATTATTTATGATGTTTTTGGTTTCTGGCCTACAAATTTAAATCATCTTTTATTCCACACCATATTTATATATGCAGTTTTAACATGTGAAATTGTTTCGGCCCATACAAAGTCAGTTTTATAGTGATGTTTTGAGTTAGAAGCTTTCCCATTTTATTATCATTGAAGTCTGAAGGTCCGTTTTCATCGATAAAGATGCAGTTTTAATAATCATTCTAAATTTAAAAGAATGGCAAAGTCCACACCAGAGCTACAACTTTAATGATAACAGCACAGAGGATCAATATAGTTGGAATCATTTCCAAAATGATTTTTTTCCAGCTAATGAATGATAAAAACATAGACAGCCAATCAGAATCCATTCTGCTTTACAGGGCTCAAGCATTTAAAGTGGCAGACGACATAAATGCAGCATGTGCTTATAATAAACAGCGTTGTTGTGTGCTGGTGTGGATGCTTGTTATCATTCTTGATATGAACAGCCTTTTAATCACAGATTCATGGCTGATTTGTCTAAGGTTGCGTGTCACTTCCAGTGTAAGACGAGCTTGTGTAACAGGTCCCAGCAGCATTTGAAGCATGATATAACAAGTCAGTGGTTGTTCAATAAATATAAATTACAAGTATAGAGAGAGAGTTGTGCATTACACTGGTCGGGGTCACAGAGATTTGTGTTTTCGAGCCGAATGTGGATTGATTTATATGATTTGTTGTATGGCTAAATAATTCAGTGTTATTAAGTGTATTGTTCTGCCAAACAATTTGACAAAAAACAAAATGAATAGGGGTGCATGCTGTTCAACACTGACCGATGTGTCATGGGTCCCAATGTTTTTTTTTTCTTTCTTTGATTGAATTTTATTCTTATTAAAAGGTGCTTAATAAAAATAAATGTGAAATCAAAGAAAATATTTGTATTTGGACTACGGGTTTGTGTTTTTTACTTCCCATAATGGATTTTTTCCCTTTATTTCATTTTATTAGAGGGTGTTTAATAAGAAGTGGAATTCAAGAAAATACTCATATTTGATTTAAAAATTAAAATTTAGTGCACATAAACTTATTCAAACTCTCAAATTATTTTCTTAAAATTACAGTCATCAATTTGTATACTACAAAATATATTGTTTTTGTTTTTTTCAGCCCAGAAGGGAAAGCCTTCCGTTCCAAAGTGGAGCTCATGGCGTACTTCCAAAAGGTGGGCGATACCACCACAGATCCTAATGACTTTGACTTCACAGTCACGGGCCGCGGGAGCCCCTCTCGCAGAGAAAAGAGACCGCCAAAGAAGCCTAAAGTGGTCAAACCCTCCGGTCGCGGGAGGGGTCGGCCAAAAGGCAGTGGCAAGGTACGGCAGGCCACGGAAGGGGTGGCTGTAAAGCGTGTCGTAGAAAAGAGTCCAGGAAAACTCCTCGTAAAGATGCCCTTTGTGGCCCCCAAAACTGAACCAGGGGCTCCAGTGGGGCAAGCGCCAGTTGCCAAAGTGCGCCGAGGCCGCAAGCGGAGATCTGAACAGGAACTGCCAAGCATGCCCAAAAAACGTGGCCGCAAGCCAGCAGCCGCTTCGCAATCGGCGGTGGGGACAGGCTCAGCCGCCGCGTACGCCGCCGCAGCCATCCTCACCGCCGAGGCCAAGAAAAAAGCTCAGAAGGAGTCTTCCGTAAAGCCTGTTCAGGAGAGGGCGCTTCCCATCAAGAAACGCAAAACTCGAGAGACTTTAGAGGGGTTGGAAGGATCAACCGCTTCCACGACGGAGACGTTCGCACCGGGGATAGCAAAACGACTGACTGCATCAACTGTGACCCCTACAGGGGAGGAGGTAGAAACGGGACAGAAGTCTCACAAGCATCCCGGCCGGAAGCACAAAGAGGCATCCACGGATCCGGGAAACGGCAGCAGCAGCAGCGGGACGGCAACCAGCGGCAGCGGACCGAAGAGTCACAAGAAGAGAGATCAGCGAGGGCAGCACTTTAAACACCACCACCATCATCACCACCACCATCTGCAGGCCATGCCGCCCTCCACCTACACTCCGCAGGCTCACCAGCTCTCCCTGGGTCACTCCACGCAAGGGGGGCCGCCTGCGACCACGGAAAATGAACCCCAAGACTTGAGCACCTCCAGGCCCAAAGCGGAACATGTGGCCTGCAGGGAGGAAGCGAGAACTGATAGCTCCTCGAGCAGGGACGCTCAGAACGCAAGCAAGATGGCCTCCTCTGACCTGAGAGGGCAGCAGACGACTGTGACGGGGGATGGCAAGGAGCTGAGAGACATTGTTCCTCCCTCCGCCGTTCCGAGGCCGAGCCGAGAGGAAACGGTCGAGTCCCGGACACCAGTGAGCGAGCCAGTGAGCTGACTGACTAAGTGACTGATTGGCAGCGGCTTTGCGTGCGAAGAGTCGGAGGCGGTCGTGGCGAGACGAGTGATTTTTCGTTCTTTTTTACTGAGGAAAAAAAGAAAAAGGAAAAAAAAATGTAAACGTACTTAAAGGCAGCTGTTGTGTCTCGTTCTCTCTGTGGGTTGGACGCGGGGCGATCATTCTCTTTGCTTCCGGATGAATTCTCTGCTAAACTTTTTCTTTATGGTTTCCTTTTATTTCCCACTATATCTTTGTATTAGTATATCTTAGCACTCACCTAAACCAGTTATTCCTTTGTCGGAGCTTGTAGGAAGTAGAAACACACTCAAGTGGTAATGGATGCACAAGTCACACGCCATAGTTGTCGTAAAGCGAAACTTTCCGATCAAAAATGCTCTCGAAAGTACTAAAATGCCTCCTAGTCATGTCATCTCAACCCTAGCAAAAAGGTGTACTATCAGTGTGTTCTTCCTTTTGTGTCTAAAACGAATGGGCAAGTCTGACGGCAAGCTGAAGAAAATAGGGCCACATTTCCGATCTCCACCTTTTCCATTTGAGTCGGACGCAGCTGTTGCAGCATCCTCACCTTTGAAATAAGACGCTAGCTTAACTCCGACAGAAAAGAACTTCCTAGTTGTGGGTTCGTGCCAAGCTGATATTTCCAGCCTGTTGACCTGTAAAGATCAATTGAATTTGGAAGTAGTATTTCCTTTGAGTTGTTGGTCTTTTAAGCGCACGTGTCTATTAATTATCAGTAGTTCAGTTAACTTAATCACCTGTTTCGGCTGTGCCTGAGAAAATGCGACTAGAGCGAAAAGCTCTATTTTTCATTTTCTCCGGTGGGGAAGATAAAGCACAAATGTGTTTGTTAGGGAATATTGAAAGCACAGTCCAGTGTAGCATCTGGAGTAGATGTCAACTTGCGTAAAAGAATACGGAAAAAGGAATGTGTTATGTTTACCTGCTTTTTTTCCATGAAGTACAATTTAAAGAGTGGCCTTGTGTTCTTGCGACACAAATCCCTAACAAAAAAAAAAGCATACCGTTTCAAATGATGTAGCTTTTGGTTTTATTGTGTGTGTGTGTGGTTATAGACTAATGCCATAGAGCTGCTGTTCTAAAAACTATTCTGATGGGAAAGTTAATAGATGGCTATATTTATATAATGTCTTGTCAGGCTGTAGCCGTGTCAAATGCATGGGTTGCTGATGTTTGCGTGCTTTGCGTGCTATTTATTACAGTACTCCGACATTGTCTTTCTTGTACATAAAGCCAGGTTCAGCACTAACGATGAGGGTCAAACGTTATAGATACGTAAATATTTTGAATTATGAGTATAATGAAACATTACTTGGCAACAAATGAAAGAAAAACTTGCATACTTTGTACAAGACCATGCAATCATGAATAGTCCTATTAGTTTTCTAAAGCCTACTTTTTCAAAATGACAGAGAACAGTTGCAATCAGAAAGGAGGACACCAAATCACGGCTCCGTGCATGAAGTTGTTAGAGATTGGACATACTAAAGATGTCTTAGTAATTAATTTGATTGTTCCTTTGGGATGAAATGTAATCCTAAGGAAATTCTGAACCAAAACTGAGGAAGTTCTTCTTTGTTGATTATGTAAAATTGATTAGGATTTTACAGAAACTTTACAGCACTTTTTCTGTTTCATTTTTGTTTCTTCTTCTAGATGAATTGCACCTTACTTTAAAAGCACCTTCACAGAATCAAATATTGCAATTGTGAGAAGCCTACCCATTTATTTGCATATGTTTTTCTGGTTAGCCTTGCACAGACTTCTGTTTCATGTCTGGAGGTTGTAATTTTCTTCAGATGTGTGTTAGAATAGAATGCATGTTCAGTGTCGTTATAAAGAGCCATTGTTTTGTTTAGATTTGCTTTTTCTGTAAAAATACCCCATATTTACCAAATTGTCATGCATAAAGGCTACATTTCACTAATAATAGTGATGGGTCAGGTCCGAGGCGAGTCAAAGTCCTTAGTCAATTGAATTTGAGTGGGAAACAGTTTTTAATGTCTTGTCATCTTAATTTTATGTTGTTACTTATTTTTATCTATCATGTTACGCATGACGTGGATTCGACTGTACTCAGTAAAAAAAAATCTGAAATGTCATAATCCGTGTCAAGTTCCACCCAAATGCATCCAAGTCTGAGTTCATTCATAATTGCCGTCCGAGTCCAAGTACCACATCTCTAACTTAAAGTATATGAGATCACATATTTATGGCCAGTAATGAGATGACAAAGGCAGTTAGTAAATGTCCTGATGTTTGACTGTTACATGCAACTCTGTGTGCTTGTCCAATCTAATAGAAAAAAAAAAATATATATATATATATACAGTATATATACATTAGACATGTATAGACATATATATAGACATAACATTAAATCCAAAGCAAACAAACCATACCATTTCAGTTATGTATAAAACCAATTATTATCTGATGTCATCACAGATTATAATTTTGTATTCTAGATATTGCAATTGCTGTTTTGAGTGAGAGTTGCTGCTCTTTTTTTTCCCCTCAAAGTATTGTGTACAGGTTTGTTTGTGTATGAAATCTTATACATTCACGGTTATTGTGGCTTGGGTGATGGATGTGCATCGTCACTGACATAAATGCAGAAAAATGTGTACAACTAAACCTTAATCAGTCAACGCTCAGCACTTGTTAAATCTTTTCGTCTGGTAGTTCATCTACAGTAGGGTGTTGTTTTTGATACTTGCTGTCATTTAGGGGTTCAGATTGGAGAGAGAGAACTTACCGGTCCTTTTTCCCCCAAGTGTGTTTCAGAGTAGACTCGTTATCTGGAATCTTAAATATAAAAAATGTTTTGTCGCTAAATGTGTAGATTAAATTACGATCGACAATCACAAGGAACATTGCATATTTATTTTCCCCCTCAAGTCTTATTAAGATTGAAAGCATCTCCATTCTCTTCCTCCAGCCTCCCGCTCCCTCGACCCTCACGGGGAAGAGGTTTCCGCTCCGAACAAGGGCTATGTAATCATTTCAAGTAGTCAAAAGCAGATGGAGGAAATGGATTTTTAAGTCAGACGAACGCACGGTCTGGTCCTCGCTGCAAAGGCAAACTCAGTTAATTGCTTGAGGTCAAACAGGAGACTTTAAGTGTTAAAGTCAAACACCACCGGCTCACCCTCTGTCCTCGGCAGAGTTCGAGCGCTCACTTATAACCGGCGGCTGACGTTTTGTCCTGTCTGCGGTGAACGTCTCCCTGGTCTGATTAAACTCGGGCGGGAGATCGGAGGTAGACGAATGGATTCCTCGGCAAGCACATTTCTCAGTTACAGGTTCAGAACAGTAGCGAAGGAACGAAACCTCCAGACATGAATTGAAGTTACGACTCACAAGCTGCATCAGTCTGGCTGAAACAGAAAGGGTAGTGCCTTTATTTTGGGAGACTTACTAAGGTGGTAGAAGTGACCTTTGATTCTAAAGAAACACCTTTATCCCAATGAAGCAACGTGGAAGGTGACTTTACTCAAATGCTTGGATTTTATTTGGTCATTTTTCATAGGTAGAACGTGCACTGGTGTGTGTGTTGTAACTAGGGTTGTTCATTTTTCTTTTTTTACATCAGCTGGGCGTTTGTGTCCACCTAGAAATAATGTATTGTTAAGAACTTCTTGCCTTTTGTAGCGCTCAAAGCCCACTGACAAAAATGGAGCCCTACAAATGGGTAAAGACAATAAGAAGAATACTTTTATTATTTATATATGTTGGTTTGTTTGATTTCCTTCTTTGTTTGGGTTATTTGTGCCTCTGGCACTGAAATATGCTTTGGAATGTCCTTGTGTCCCTGTAGCCAAAAATACATGCTATGTACGTGAACATGTATCAATATGCATGATTGCCATTAGAAGATAGGACATTGCTTGCCCTTTACTATTATATATAAAGATGAGCTGAGCCCAACCACACCAACCGAATCCGAAGGATTTAATGAGGTATAAAAAACTGAATGTGTTCTGTTTAATGAAGGTTGTGCACTTTGGTCTGTTTAATATGAACAGATTTGTTTAATTGAAGTATTGTTTGATTTAACTGATGGTAGCTGAGTTTGGGCTTCAGACGCCACTCCTTGTAGTGGCTAGAGTCATTTGTAGATTTCTGTGCTAGATTTATTTTTATTAGTAGTAATTTTTTTGTTTTTTCCAATTATGAATCCAACTTTGGAAATAGACCGTTTTATCTTCATAGCAATAGTGCGATAGTATACCCAGCAGATCGGATATGAGTTTTCTCCTTTAGTATGTCTCTGATTTGTGTAACAGTAGGACTGAAGTAAAAGAAATGTACCTTTACGACTAAAATGCAGCACTTTGAATCGTGCAAGGAGGACAATTTCAAGTCAAATGAAACCGAAGTTAAACTATAAGAAATAGATTCCAGTTCCACCGTGGTAGAAAGTTCATGGTCTATTTAACATAGTTTTGTGCCTTGAAGTTTCAGTAATAGAATTTATCTTTATACTGTAGTTGTATTTTTATTCCGAGTCCTGTGTTTGCCTCTTGTTGGTATTCAGTGCTATGGATGTATTAAGGATTTATAGAGATCAAGAATATGTTTGCCTTGCTTTATTTTCTTAATTGAGAAAAAAAAAAAGCATAATATTAGGGAGATGTACTTGGGCAATATTGACGATGTAAAAAGCTATAGGATTTTGATGTTTTTTTCATCCGTGATATGTTGAATGTTTCACAGATTATTAAGTAACGTGTTTGTTGGGAAATATTCTCCATTTTAACATGACCATTAAAAAAAAAAGAAAAAAAACTTGGCCTCAAACATAATCTTCCAATCACATTTTATGACACAAAAAAAAACTTCAACCTTGACCGGACGGACAACGAGTCTAAGATCTGCACTTTATAAAATATGTTTCCCGGCAGGACTCCCCGTTAACTTTTTGTATGTATTTTTTGACCCTTGTCCAAAGCTGTTTTGTTTTCATATTATTTTTTTATTTAGTTTTAAATAAAAGGGATGGGTAGTATGTATCTAAAAAAAAAAAAAGTAATTTTAACCAAACAATCCTAAAGACTATGTGTCAGTGGTTATTCACCATCTGCCAAGCTAAGTCCTTGCCTTCCTGAAAGTGAAAAGTATAGTTTGTGTCTACTTTTATAGTACTGTGTTACTGTATCATTTGTTTGCCGTATGTAACAGATACACAATAGTAAACAACATTTACCTGCTCTCTGTCTAAAACATTTCTTTGACTCGTGCCACAAACAAAACAATGGTAGTGATGTTTCCTTATTGTGAAAGATCAGGGTTTTATCTATAATTTAATCATGTTAGAAAAAACATAAACAAAACAAGGAAAAGTACTGATGGCTGTAATCTGGAAAGCAAAATCAACGTTTCGGTTTCACTTGGGAGTTTTTCTCTTGAGGTTTTGCAGTTGAACTTTAATTAAACCAATGCTTGTTGCTCATATTTTACATATAGCAATCTCTCATGTTTTGATACAAATGCAACTTTAATGTCTTTCTCAGACCAAAAAAAAAAAAGTTTGTAATACAGAAATTTGTCTGGCATATTGCATCACTTTAAATTTTTGAGCAAATGCCTCACAATGCAAAAACAGCACTTAATATCAGGACAGTGACATTTACCCTATTACTAAATGTGGAAAAAAGGAAGTGGAAGATGTGAGTAAGTTAGACGTGATGGCGAAGGAATTCACGAACTCGACTACTATGGTGAAGATGACGGGTATGAATATTAATAGACGTAATGTGACGTTGGCCTCCGCAAGTAGATTTCAACTACTAACGTAAGGAAGTGGGCGGTAGCTTCAGCGGCGGCTCATGAATATTAATTAGATTACGCAATAAATATTCACGAACCAGTATAGCACGGTGAGACTGCTGTGGTGGTGACTCAAAGTAAAAGAGAAAAAAAGACCACTAACACAAGTGACAGCCACAAGCAGGAAACTCCCGCGTCCAAAGACCACGTAAAACAATATCAGAGCTGATTAAAAAGATTTACACAGCGAAGAAGAAAAGATAAAAGTCAGGGAAATGTCAGGAGCGGAGTTTGAAAGGGAGTTTCTGTACAATTTACCCGCGTCTGTTATGAATCAGTTTACACGGATTATGGACTCACTTTCACGCTCAGACTGGATATTATTCGGTAAGAATTATGTATTTATGTTTAGGTTTTTGTTAGGCTGCTGTAGTAGTATTTTATTTAAATCTGAACTCGAACCCCGGAGGATGTGTTGATTAGCACACTCGCTAACTCGCTTAGCCATCTGAGCGGTGTCGTCAAAAGTTACGTTTTTGTTTAATTTGTGAAATGTTTATTTCTTACAGCTGTGGTTTATTTACTTAGTTTAGTTGTGAATAAAGTTTGTAAATCTTTGTAATGATATTTGCGTGGTTATGAATGTAGTTGAGGTAACTACAGATGTTTCGCTAAATGTCAGGATTGTTGACTTGGCCTGATGACCGATGACACTGGAGTAAATAAAGGGGTTAATAATTAATAATCTGATTTATAAGTTCAGAAATGCACGTGGATCACTGGGGTTGTTGGGGTTTATTTTGTGTCCATTGATTCAGGTGAGATGCTGAGATTTAATCCATCATATTGTTAAATCACAGCTCCTTTTCAGTAGGGAATCATTCTGATTGGAAATAAGTTCAAAGATGCTATTTATGTGAAGTAAATGTTTGCCAATGTTGCCCTTTTGTCCAGGTAACTGGAGAATGTCAGTTAGAACTTTCTACACAGTCATAATAATAATGATTCTTCATGACGTTTTAGAATGAATGATTCTCTTACTCAATTGGAGCTAAATATAATTAAATTTAGTGCTGTCAAACGATTAATCGCGATTAATCGCATCCGAAATAAAAGTTTGTTTACATAATATATGTTTGTGTACTGTGTATATTTATGTATATATAAAAGCACACACACAGTATATATTTTGAAAATATTTACATGTATATATTTATATTCATATCATTTATATAATATATTTAATATATAAACATTACATATGTTTCTTAAATGTATACATGCATGTGTTAGTATTTATATATACATAATAATAATTAATGCATTTAGCAGACTCTTTTATCCAAAGCGACTTACAGTGCATTCAGGCTATACATTTTTTACCAGTATGATCATAAATATACACCGTACACACACATATGTGAACAAAAACCTTTATTTTGGATGCGATTAATCGTTTGACACCACTAAAATTATGATGTTTTTACTGTAGTAACTAAAGTATTTTGGTGGAAACTAATAACTAAACTAAAACAGTGCTTTAATGTCCATTGCAGCTTCACAGGTAATATCGGACCAGACTGAACTACACCTTTTGGAGCAAAGCCCCAGACGGACAGACAACCTGATCCACAAATGGGGCTGTCGCAACGGGACGGTTGGAGAACTGCTGAAGATTCTTGAGGGCTTGCAGTGGTTTAGGGCCCGTGATATCATCCTTGAATGTATGTATGCTTTCTGTATCATTGTGCCTTGTAATTTGCTTGCTTCTATTATCTCTACCATATCTCATGCCCTAACCAGCCAGGTTGTCAAGTGGGTTTTGAGGTTGTCATGAAACTCACTTGATAGTCTTGATTCAGGCACTTTATTGACAAGTAACACATTTAAGTTGTGCAGAAACACAATGCTGTCAGATGTGGCAGTTTTCTGCTGTGATCACACATGCTTATTTGTTTCCATTTCTGTTCTCTGATCACTAGAGAGGCTGTCGGAGTTACAGCTACAAGCAATTACGTTCTCCTCTGATATCTACTGAAAAACAAACAGCAACAACTGATTAGGATTGTTATTTGATCTTAAACAGAGTCCAAATTGACCTTATTTGCTTTGTTAAAACACGTTTCCATTTCATTTTGCATGATTCATCGGTGCATGTTTTTTCAAAGAATAAAAATTTGTCCCTATAATCTTTCATCAAAATGCAACAACTTGCATATATAATGCAGATAAATTTATATAGGCTCATTTAGTTAAAGCAACTAAAATTACACCGTTTTTAACACAATATTTTCTTCTGATTGTTACGACCCTGTCTAGGGTAAGGCCGCAACATAAACTGACGTTAACAATCAGAGATCCTTTATACATTTATTTACAGAACCATGAGTGAAAGCACAACTTCAGAGGTGAGCAAAGGCCAAAACAACAAACAAAACACCAAGCTAGCTCCTAACAGAAGACTAAATTCCCTAACAAAAGAAAAACAAAATAAAAATACAATGCGTTACCCTAACTCTCTATCTAATGAAAAACAGGAGAAAACAATATTTACAAAAGAAAATGGCACTCACCCCCTACAGCTTCCAAGTGTGGAAAAGAGTATTTACAATACTTTACAAAATATACAAATTGGAAATGAGATTGACAACAACTTATCAACTCAAAACCAAAATTCACACTGCACACAACAGGCAGATCAACAGGCAAGCTAACAGCAACAACACACTGTAGCAAACACACAATAGCACATGTGCAATGGAACAACAGGAAATCACAAGTTGATCAGAGCTCCCTCCTCAGGCACAACAGATCCTTTTATTGCTGCTCCTTGGTCCCATTAGCACCAATCAGATCTGGACATCACTTTGGTAGGATCCAATCCTGTGAAAGAAAGGATGTGACAAGAAAGAGAGAGAGACAGAGAGAGAGAGAGAAACAGCAAAGCAAGACACATACACAATATGTCTCAAGACGTAACATGATTCACTACTTTATCAAATTGTGTATTATTTATTGACATGGTTAACAGTATATATTGGCACTGACATAAGTGAGAGAGAGTACTTTTGTTGATCTATAAACTTGCTATTGGCAAACGGCAAGTAATCTCAAAATAGCCAAATATCTGCCGATAAATGACTCAGTCTTATATATCATATTGTCAACAGTAATAATATTTGAGTAATATTGTTATTGTTAACTAAAACTAATAAGTGTTCAAACTAAATTTGGTTATAAATATGAAATAAAATATATTTTTGATTAAAAACGTTTAAAAAAAAATGTGAATGAAAATTAGAAATGTTCCCATGTTGAAATGCTAAAACGGATATATTTCAGTTTTATGATTTACTTTTGTGCAGACACTGCAGGTCATTATATTTAGATAAAAAATCCATTAATGTACTTTTGCATGCATTTCCACAGGCAGACATATACGGCAGTTTCGTTCAGAGCAGCAGTCACCTTTAACGGTGCCACCAGTCCCTGCATGTCAAAGCAGTACAGCCACCTTTGTCAAAGAGTCTCTCCCTGTCCCCGGTAATGTTTTATTCTAAGTTCAGTGATTGCATCTGTCGAACATGATATTCTTTTTAAAAATGCAAGTTGACTGCTTCAGAATATCTGTGGTAAAAATGGTCATTTTGCTTTTCCAGAAGTCAGGCTTCTACCCAAGCCTAGCCCCCCACCGCCTGATCTGGACTCTATGGATTCAAGAATTTCAAATATAGAGGTGCTTCATTTGATTAAAAAAAAAAAGAAATTCAGCCATTAAAACGGCTAAAAGAAAAAACTTGCTAGGTTTGACTGTTCAGTTTTTATTGTGCTGGTGAGGCATTAGTCAGCATGACTCTTCCTTTAGCTATCATGTTTTTCTTCCTTACAGTCTCTTAATCCACTGATGCATTTGTGTCTGTTCATAGTCCCCGTGTGCGAACCGCGTGGATCCCCTGCCTCTTTCCTCTACTGCAATGAGCTGGCCGCTTGAGGAAATCCAGAGTAGCACATGCAACTTTTCCCCGTGCAAGCAGATTGGAGAAGGAGGGTTCGGGCACGTGTATAAAGCTGTGATGAGAAACACTGAATTTGCTGTGAAGAAGCTGAAAGAGGTATTAGTTGTGAACTAACAAAGCAAACCATTATGATTTTGGCCGTTCTGTTATTGAGTCATTCAGTTTGTTTCCTAAGCATCCATGTTTTTTCTCTTTCTCTTTCATGTGGGTGTTTGGAACAGGACTCCCATTTGGACTGGAATGTCGTGAAGGAAAGTTTCAGGACGGAAGTAGAAAAACTATCACAGTAAGAAACTGTCTGTCCATCCTCTGCTCCTGTGGCTTATGCTTCCTGTTCTCGGGCCTTAAATCTGTCTTTCCTGTTTTGTCATAAAAGAATTGTTCACCCAAAAATAAAAATTAGCTGAAAATGTACTGACCCTCAGGTCATCCAAAATGTAGATGATTTTGTTTGCTCATCAGAACGGATTTGGAGAAATTGAGCATTACGGCACTTGCTCACCAATGAATCCTCTGCAGTGAATGGGTGCCGTCAGAATTAACAGCCCAAACAGCTGATTAAAAACATCACAAAAATCTACAAGTAATCCACACCACTCCAGTCCATCAATTAATGTCTTGTAAAAGTGAAAAGCTGTGTGTTTGTAAGAAACAAATCTATCATTAAGATGTTTTTAACTTCAAACCTTTGCTAAAAATACGAGCCCTCTATCCATAATATAACTTACTCCAGTGAAGAAGTTGTCTTGTCCGAATCAAGAGAGAAATATGCACAGATCAAGCTCCGTTTACAAGTCAAAACAGTCCAACATCAATTCTAAACAAATATGTCAGTGGATTTTGATGTAAGAGGACAAAAGGGGATATGGACTCTTTCACTGGAGGAAGTGTTAATGTAGATTATGGCCAGAAGTGACTATTTAAAGTTAAAACACCTTAATGGTGGATTTGTTTCTTACAAACAAGCAGCTGATGGACTGGAGTGGTGTGGATTACTTGTGGATTATTGTGATGTTTTTATCAGCTGTTTGGATTCTCATTCTGACGGCACCCATTCACTGCAGAGGAACCATTGGTGAGCAAGTGATGTACTGCTACATTTCTCCATATCTTTTCTGATGAGGAAACTCATCTACATCTTGGATGTTTTTGGGTGAACTATTCCTTTAATTAGATTTTTTCAGTCTGGCTGTGATTCATTTGTATGTTTAACAGAAGCGCAGAATGGGACTTACCCGCTTGAAGTTTCGATTGCTCTTTATGCACCACACACCTTCATGACCCAAAAATGAAAGTCTACAGCACACCCTCCAAAACTGTTTTGTGGTTAGTTGTCACCCTTTTGTCTCTTAATTAGGTCATTTTTTTCTGACGCTTCAACCTTTCAAGCTTTGCTTCCTTCAGCTACTGTAATGCTCTTGTTAAATGTTATGCAATATAATCTAAAGCTACACGGTTTTTCATTAGGCTCTTTCTTACACAGATACAGACATCCCAACATAATGGACTTTGTTGGCTACAGTATAGAAGGACAAACTTATTGTTTAATATATGTTTATATGCCGAAGGGCTCTTTAGAGGACCGGCTTCGATGTGAGGTGAGTTACCACTCTTGCTTGACAATATGGGCTCTGCATCAGTGTTTAGTATGCTATTCAAAGAATAGTTCACTCAGAATGAAACTTATGTCATCATTTGCTCACCCTCATGTTGTTCCAAATGTGCAAGTATTCTAAGGGAGATATTTTGAGGAAAGGCTCTGTGTGCTCTTTTTATATACATTAGGGGGAAAAAATCACCTCAAAAATGGTTTGTATGACTCATCATTCAAGTGTTCTGAAGTTGTACGATAGAATGAAATTTAAATTGTTTTTCCGCTAAAAGGTAGTTTTGTCCAACCTGGCTTTCAAATCTCATTTGAGGGCCTGCATGTACAAATATAATGAATCCTAACTTGTTGCGCAGAGTTTGACGTCAGTGTTGTCATCATTGTGATGACAATGTCAACAGTCAACAGTATCAATGAAAAGATATGGCATGAGTCACTGGTCTCACAAGTCAAAATATGAACAACTTTAGTGGTGCTTTTTGTTATTTTTTGTGTCTTGTTTTTATACACTATCATTGTAAGTAAATAAGCCCTCAAAACAGTCACTTGGGTTTATAACCGCATGAGTAAGTGATGACAGAATTGTCATTTTAGGTCATCTATCATCTAACTCTGTCACAGCATAGGTTTGTCATTCACAACGCTTGTTTCTTTCAGGACAGTAACGCCCTCTCTTGGTCACAGCGTGTAAATGTGTTGCTTGGCACTGCCAAAGCTATTCAGTACCTGCATTCTTCTTCACCTGCACTTATTCATGGAGATATCAAGAGGTGAGTGCAAGAACATGTAAAGCACATGTACACTGGCATTCAGATGTTTGGGGTCTGTAAGATTTTTCTTTTTCTGACAGAATTAATAGTTATATTTAGCAAAGACGTTTATAATGTTACAAAAAAAAATCTAATAAATGCTGTTCCTTCGAAGTTCTGTTCATCAAAGAATCCTGAAAAATGTGTCATCGTTTCCATGAAAATAAAAAGCAGCACAACTGTTTTTAACACTGATATTAAAAAGAAATGTTTCTTAAGTGGCAAATCAGAATGTTAGAATGATTTCTGAAGGATCATGTGACACTGCAGACTGGAGAAATGATGCTGAAAATTCAGCTTTGCATCACAAGAATAAATTACATTTTAAAATATATTCAAATTGAAAACATTACTGTTTTTACTGTATTTTTCGTCAAATAACTGCAGCCTTGGTGAGATAAAGAGGCTTTCAAAAACACTAAAAAATCTTACCAACCCTAAACTTTAGAATGGTAAGTAGATTTAGTCTCTAAGGTCATTGCTGGACTCTTTGAATCTGCAGTATTTGATAGGGATAAACATGAATGCTTGCAATGATCGATCATGAATTATCTTTGTGATGAATTCAAATTAAGAGTCATGAAGTCATTGACAAACCAACTAGTCACTAATTTTAGATACATTCTGGTGCGGGCATCTTTGAAATCACATCATACATTACCGAAAGTTTTCTCTCGTAAGTCAAACGTCAGTCCCAGCTTGAGCTTCTGACAATCACACTGTTGTTACATAAATTGCAGGAATCATATTGACCCAAATTACTTCACAACTACATCTCTCAGGACCTCAGATTAGTTGATGGAATGAAAGTTTTTACAGATACCGATTCATTCTCCACTGGAATCTTTAATGCAGTGTTAGTGCGGCTGATTGCACCCATTACATTTTGTAAAACCTGCAATCACTGCAAAGAACCTTTACATTGGGATGAGTTTTAAAAGAAAATTAAGCTTTTGGGTCAGTTAACTTGTTTGGCACTGGCGCTGCTAAAACTCCATCACCTGTAAAAGGGTCTGAATTCGTGCTTGGAAATTTAGGAACATTTCACCACTACACTATCCAGTGCTACAATTTTCCTTTTTGCTGAACATATTGTTCCACTTGGACATGCATGTTAATTATTAAGGTACCAACCAGTCATGTTCCCTCTGTTACAGCTCTAACATCCTTTTAGGGGACCACCTGGAGCCCAAGCTGGGGGACTTTGGATTGGCACGTTTTTGTCGGAACCCCAACAAAACCCCAGGCAAGACGTCCACCGTGGCTCAAACTGCTACGGTCCGGGGAACTCTGGCATACCTCCCAGAAGAATACCTGAAGGATGGACAGCTGGGAGTGGAGATCGACATCTACAGCTTTGGAGTGGTGAGCTGCATCTCAGACGCAAAATCTCATAAACACCAATATGTTTTTAATGTAGACAGCACTGATTGTATGTTCATCATTCTCACCAGCAATATTATTTTACAATAATGCATACAGGTTATATTAGAGTAACAGTGTGTGAATAGTAAATAGCCAATGTAAAGACTTTTTGATTCACTCAAAGAGGTCCGAGTTGGGTTTTTATGGAAGACCCAGCCTTAATTATATTTATTATAATTATAATGCTTCAGTTTTTTGTTTTTTTGTGTGATGTTGCCTGTTTGTAAACAGATGCTACAAACTAGGGCTGGGCAATATAGCTAAAACAATTGAATCTCACTATTTTTCCATATTTTGAAAACATTTAATATATTAATATTTTTGTATTTGCTCTCAAAAAATATATAAAAAGGTGTTGTTTTTTCCTCCGCATGAAAAAGCACTGATCACTACTTTTTTACAAAATTGTAAAAAAATGTAAAAATCATATGTACTTTAAGGTACCAAAATAAAAAACACAAATACACACGGGAGCATTTGAAAGCAGACATGATTTAATTCAGTTGTCATGGTTGTGAGACAAAAAAGCTGTGTGAAATTGGTTCACTGTCTGTATAAGCGAAGGAGCATTATCACAATATTTCCTAATTTTATACCTTCAGCAGACATAACACTATAATATTTGATTTATCACCCATTCTTACGGCAAAGGTCTTTCAGCTTTCCATATTTGATAAAGTAACACTCCAGTTTCTCTCATACCGCAGGTCATGCTAGAGGTACTTACTGGACGCCAGGCTCTGGAGGTCAATGGCCAATCCAGAACTGTTTACTTGGTAAGAAGAGCTGAAATCTTATTTTAGTCACATATGTGACCCTGGACCACAAAACCAGTCATAAGGGTCAATTTTTCGAAATTGAGATTTATAAATCATCTGAAAGCTGAATAAATAAGCTTTCCATTGATGTATGGTTTGTTGTAGAGTTGGCTGGGTGGTTAAACCTGTTATTTCTCACAGAAAGATCTAGTAAATGAGGAGGAAGATGATGGAAGAAGTTTCAGCAAAGGGAAGCACTCGCGGGAGCTGTCCTATACTTACGCAGCGGAGAACATCTGCAGGAAACATCTGGATCCTCGACTGATGACTGAAGACACACCTTCCCCTCATGGATCAATGGAAATCTCTCAGCTGGCATGTCAATGTTTAGACCGGCGGCGGAAGAAGAGACCCCGCATGACGGAAGTAGGAGAATCTATTCAAATGCTTGTTTGTTTATTATATTACGATTTTAGTAGTGTGTTTCTGTTAAATTGATCATGTCATGACAAATCAAATTTTTTTTCTTTCATTTTGTGCAGTAAAATGTAATTACAGTTCAAAATTTTACTACTGTTAAAAATTTTGGGGTCAGTCATTATTTTATTTATTTATTTATTTTAAGAATATGAATACATTTATGCAGCAAGGATGCATTAAATTGAGCAAGTCACTAATGGCATTTATAATGATTTCTATTTCAAATAAAAACTTTGTATTCGTCAAAGAATTCTGACAAAAAAAAGGATCACAGATTCCACAGAAATATGAAGCAGCACAACTGTTTTTAATGTTGATGATAATAAGAAATGTTACAAATCAGCATATTAGAATGATTTCTGAAGGATCATGTGACACTGAAGACTGGAGTAATGATACTGAAAACTCAGCTTTGCATCACAGAAATAAATTTCAATGTAAAATATATTCAAATAGAAAACAGTTATTTTAAATTGTAATAATATTTCACAATATTACTTAAATAAATGCAGCCTTGGTGAGAAATTAAAAAATAAATAAAATAAGTCTTACCGATCCTAAACTTTTAAACGGTCGTGTAAATGTAGTATTATTTTCAGAACTAAAAAGAGCATTTCTTCAAGTTATTAAATATTAAAGGATGGAGTGATTAAAAACAATTGCTCCTGACAACAAACATGTGAAGGGGGTGTTTCTTAAAGACACAGGCTCAGCGTCCAAAAACAGAAAGTTCCGTTCAAATGGAGAGAGTGGTCACAAAAACGGAATTATTACTAGCTAACAAGTAGACATCAGGGAATTAATAAGATTATTATACAATACAATAATACCCCTTCATAATATTAGGTTTGGCTAGAATTATCAGGTTTATTCTGGTGTTTTATTTTGGTGTTTTATAGGTGTTCAAAGCACTTCAAGATGTGCATTTAGGGTTGAAGACCTCTTGCAGATCAACCACGGTCAGATTGTCTCCCGTATCATCTCATCCATCCACTCCTGAGCCTCTGCGCTCCGACAGCAGCTCCCTGGACTCTCTCACTCATCAGTTCTCTAAACTCCGCCCTCAAGAGGACACGTACCCCTGCCTTCACAAGACTGTCTGTCCCACCTTGACCTCTGTCGTGACTCAGTCTAGCTGCTCAGAGTCAGAGCTGAATGCTGAATCATGGGCTTCACAGTCCTCTGGTATGCCGTGTGAATCGGATGAGAGTCAAGGCTTTTCTCAGTACTTGACAGGTCACTGTAGCAGAGCTCAGGTGACGTCATGTGGGGCCTGTGGCATTCAGAGCACTAAAACAAGTGGTTCTTTAGTGGAAAACTCATCACAGTCCAGTCCCAATGAAGGTAATGAGCTTATTTTATTTGTTATTAAAATGGGTAGATCATAAATAGTTAAGAGCCTTTTTCTGAATGTACTGTATGGTATTATAACTTTCTAGTTGGTCCTGTCTAAATTTACAGATTTTTCTGACAAGAAAGTGTTTGTAAATCCTGTGAGGCAGCGACTGGTCCAAAAAATGGAGCTTTATGAAGAGGGAAGGATTTTAACTTCTGATCTGCTGTCATCAGGCGCCTCATTATGTAAGTGTCCAAATCAACCGTAACTGGATGACATTACTGTATACAACAAATGCTTCATTCAAACTGAGCTGAAAATTACCCATATAGAATGGTCATAGATCCTGCATCTGCTTGATCTTATTGCCCTTTGGCTGATGTCTGGAGATTTGCTTTTGAGGCATTGCTCGAGTCACAAATACTCAGTTTTCACATTTAAAGTGCAACTGGGGTGACGCATACAAGGCTAAATACAAGACCCCCATATTCTAACAGGACCCAATAAGCAATAAACACATATTTTGTGTGTCTTATCTGGCATTTGTATGTATTGGCTGTATTTTTATTTGTCAATGTCATGATTTTCATCACTATGATACCAAGGTTATTATAGTTGACACAAAACTATGTTTGGTATTTGAAATGTAATCAACTTTAAAGGCACAATATGTAAAACATTTTTATTAAAATATCCAAAAACCACTAGAACAGTGTTATATATTTTGCTGACTTGTGTACTTACATTATCCCAAATGTTTCGAAGAATGTTTAAATCCAGAGAAATAAGCAGTTTTAACTAGTGACACGGAGCGTGTCCATAGTGTCATTGTGTCGCCTGCCAATGACGTCATAACCCCTCGATTTCCGGTTTTGTTTTGTAATAAACATGGAAACACCAAAGATGCTTCTAATATGATCCTAATATGTTGTGCGTTTAATAGACCCGTGACGACCGCACAGAGTAGCATTATAACAGAGCTTTCAAACGTATCTAGTATGATAAAACAGCGCTGCTTTACCCCACATACGCACGACCGGAAGGAGCGGAAGCGGTCGACTGTGGCATAATAAAAGCTCCGCTGCTTTCGAGCCATGTGTCACGCTCGTTCAGCGGCCTCGTTTCGCTTCGACGGCTTTCAGCCTCACCCTGCTTCATTCTACTACGTTAATAAATCATTAGCTCATCCATGAACATGATTTCTGCCTGAGTCCCGTCGGATTGCATCGGCTGTGGGGATGAAGACAACAACTCCCATGATTCCACACTCAGTCACAGCGTCATCAAACTACGCCTTTGTCTATTTGTTTATTTTGAATACGCGCTCTCTAGCGGCGAAAATTACATATTGTGCCTTTAACTGAAATAAAATAATATATGAAAATGCAGAACAACACCTACGGTCACCAGATTACAGTACATCACTTCTCCGACGACATTCGAAGACCCGACAAATGCAGAGTCAACATGTTCAATCAGCGAAAACAAGCAGCAACAGATGGTGATTAGACAAAACCCCACAAATGTGTTAGTTTTCTGCTTCTGTCGGTGCAGTGTGAATTCTTTAATGAGTTAAAAACATGCAAGAGGATCTTTACAAAATGTGTCAACACAAAATTGCCGTGCTTGTTTGTTTGAATCAGTAATATAGTTTATTTATGCTTTTTCATAATTCTGTAGACCGGGAGATGAATGCTGAAACGAGGGAGCCAGAAGAGAGTGATGAGTTTGCAAGCGAGACATCTGGAATCAACATGCAGTCGCCTGCTGCAGTTTAACACTGGATGTTTGGAGGAAGGAACCCAGCAAATATGTTGTTAAAATATTACATGAAATATTCACAAATATCTTTACGGTACTTTTTTTACGGTTATGATAAAGAAAGTACCTTCATAAATACCTCGCCAAAGCTGCAGATTAATAATCTTTTTTTTTATGGTAATAGCAAGTGAAACGTGGTACGGATGAAGAAAGCTCTGTAGTTATGAACCTGTGAATCTTGACTATCAAGCCAAAGAAATATAAAAGTGCATAATTTATTGTTATACGCCTGTTAGTTTGGCGATTGAATGTCTGTCTGTTGCTGTTTTTGGCTTAGTTCTCAGCAGCATATTGTTTATAACATAATGTGAGGTTTATGGATTATGGCCAAAACACCTACTTCTATGAGTAGTATTTAAATACTATTAGTACTATTTAACATTAATGATTAATCTATTTCTGTGGTACTAACTGGTGATTGTTATATACATTAAATTAAACATTTAGCCTGTGCAGTCTTCATTATGCACATTAGATTTTTTTTCTAGTTAGATTACTGCAATGCCAAAACAGTTTTATATGAAACACATAACAGCATTTGTACAGATTTCTACATTCAGCCCTTTGCTTTATAACTGTATACAATGACTTGTAAAATGTAATAACTTCTACAAAAAAAAAATCTTCTTAGATGCTACGATTTAATCTGCTCTCTTGAAAGAAAAAAAAAGTTCAATTTGAGTCATTTATCAAACCTCTTGTTTTTTGTGAATGAAATACAAGTCTTTTGTTTATTGGCAGTGGAGTGTTTTGTAAGCATATAATAATAAGCATATAATATTTACATGAATTATGATTATCAGATAGTTATTTCATGCAGAGATCATGAATATTGGAGATGGTGGTCTCTAACAACATGTTAGAGTTACAGGAGAAATGACCATGTTAACCATAGATTCTGTTACATAATAAAACATATATTTTACATTAATTCTGTGTGTATATTCTGTAATGGAGACCCACTGTATGTTTAGATATAAATGCTAAAATATTTCCACCTTTTTATATTTTTATTATATGAAGATTACATTAACAAAAACCATAACAAACTTTTTACTAGGCCTTCATAATTGAATTTTGATACTCTTCAATAAGAGCCCAAACTTTCAATCTGAAAATAGGAAAATCCAACATAAAAATATACATTGTTTAAAAACCATGATAATCTAAACAAAGGGAAAGAAAGAAAGAAATATTGTGCCGTTAATTCCACCACCCCTAATGTAAAGTTAAGTGTGTTTTTTTCGCCAAGGAGACTCATTGAAGAATTAAAAATAAAATATAAATAAAAATTTAAAAGTTTTACATTTAGACCATTCCAATAACTTTATTTACAAAACCTTTTCTGAAAATCAAAATTCTTTTCATTCATCTTCCAAACGTCTTATCATTCCAGCAGATTTGCAGGCCCGAAATATAGTTCAATTGTAGTTTCATAAAACATTTATTTAAAATACTGAATTATGTCTTCGTATACTCTCACATGTTATGGATAAAGAATCAACATTACATAAATGAAAATATCATGCCTTTTGTCATCCAACAACATTCCAAACACTATATGGTTTCCAGAAAAAAAGCAGGCAGTGATTGGACCCTTGCATCCAAACCATAAGTCATATCTGCCCAGAAAATATTTGAGCGCATACAGTAAGAATGCGGTGCTGCGCGCGCTCAAGAGGCTGCCGCTGTTGAATTATTGAGCGCTTGTCAAGAAGATGGCGGCTTCCTTGGCGGCGTGAGAAGATGTAGAGTTAGCAATATCTACAGTGAAAGGCGCACCCAGGGTTGAATTCGTTCTCTGAGTCCTCCCTCGTGATTTTTAATTAAGTTAACGAATCGGAACGAGTAAGTATTTGGTGCCGGGCAATGACAGAATCCGAATTTTGTTGCCGCTTTCTTTGACGGCTAACGGTACATCCGCCATTTTTCTTGAGGGAAGCTAAGCGAGAAGCCAGGGACGAAACAATAACAACTTACTGAACTGTGCATCTCGAATAAAATCACACTTGCAATTTTAACAGTAAATAAACATGAAACCTGTGACATTTTCTCTGTTGTGCCAAATGAGTATGTAGAATTTGCAGTGTTGTAATGAGCTATTTAGCATTGAAGCTAACTGGCTGCCCAATGGATCTCATTGAACATTTCAGCTAACGTTAGTGTGCTAATGCGGCTAATAGCTAACAGCAGCCAATGCAAGTTGTTTTTAGTCTAATCAGCGCTGTTTTGTAAGAAAAAAAATGTATTTGAAGAGTTTTATTGTGTATTTGTTTATAAATATACATATGCATTTGGATCACTAAAAAAAGCACTAAGCTTTTTTCTCCAGAGGGTGGATTGTTTGGTTTGTTTATCAAGATGGCGGCACCCAGACAAGAGAGGCATGAAAATTCCACATATCACATAAAGCTACACTAATAACCTCTAACGTTATCTGCATTTGTTTTAATGCGGACTTTAAACGCGTCAATTTTATAATCTTTTAACACATTTTACCTGCGGGGTTTAATGGACGTATTTAGTATTATAATACGATTTCCGTAATACTCATTTCAATAAAAGCTGATATTTTGTTTGGTTCGCTGACTCTTTTTTTGTATTTATTTTAATTTTTTCCGCTCAACATTACGGTTCACTGCCTTGTATGTGTTAGATGAATTTTCTTAATTGATATTTTTCCACCTCTCATTTCTGTTTACTATTATGATTTATTATCATCATCATTATTATTATTTTCACGCCGCCCATTTCTCTCTTTTTTTCCGCCGCCCATTTCTATTCACTAGCTTGTGTGTGTTAGCTTAGCCGCTTAGCAGCTAACTAGGCGCTTGTGCTGGTAGCGTAGCGTTTAGCTAGCCTCTGCAAGATGGCGGCGTACACATCTTCAGAGCGCTTTTCTTTTTCTCCTAAAGACATTTAACCCAAAAACGCTTTTTCGCTTGCTATACGGAGATTTAAGAAAAAATGCGCAGGAGCCCATCTGCATGTGACGCTGTGTAGTTTGAGTTACTTTCCTTCGTTTCGCCGGTAATTGGCGTTTGCTCAGCCGCCGGCGTCTGTCTATGTATTTTCTTCTCGTGATGAAAAGCGTATTGTGCCGCTAAAATGGCGGTTCGCGTAGATTTGAGCGGCTAACATGCTAACCGGCCGACATTTTTTTTCATACTCTATACGTTTGATTTGCGACGCGCATAAACGCTAATATTTACTATAACTGCGTGAGTCTTTTAGTATATTCTGGAGAGCAGTTGGCCAAACAAATAAAACAAATAAACGCGTGGAAGTCGAACCCATTTCGGTGACCTAGTTAGCTTGCGCGAAGCTACAGAGTACTAGCGGGCTAATCCAGTTAGCACAGAGCTTTTGACACCCGAATGCTGTTGGAATCCCAACTAAAATCAGCGCTGTGCGTGGGATTTGTGTCTCGCTAGAGAAGTGGACATGGCTTCTTCAGGGACCTCGGTTCTGCAGCCGCGCTGGAAGAGGGTTTTGGGCTGGTCTGGCCCGGTTCCTCGCCCGAGACACGGACACCGAGCTGTGGCCATTAAAGAGCTGATGGTGGTGTTCGGCGGAGGGAATGAAGGCATTGTGGACGAGCTGCACGTCTATAATACAGGTGAGAATGTTATTATATAGTAATTAAGGCGATGTTATTTGTGCATGTAATTGCACTTTATTTCTGCAGACATTAGCTCGCTATGTTATTGCTAGCCAGATTCTGTCTTTTCTGCCTTGTCTTGGTTGTCAGATTTGCTGTTTTGCTTTTTTTTTTTTTTTTTACAAACGCCTCTTGACTGGTGAAATAATTCATTGTGTATATATAGCAGTTTACACAACTTATTTCTTAAGCTATTTCTCGGCTAATTGTTTAAACAGGGTTAGCCAGGTGCATTAGCGCAGTTAGCGGCTACACAAAATCTGCATAAGCGATCAGCTACATAAGCTAACTAGCCATAAAGAATGTGCACAAAAATAACACTTGGCTGTGTAATTCAGCTCACATAATCATGACGTGTTTGCACTAACGTTAACGTTAGCGCACTTAATTTCAGTGCATCATCTGCTGAATGTGGTGTTGCAGTTAGGTGCACTGTGAGCTGATCTGTGTTATGTTAAGATGTTTATGGGTTGAAGTGTCAGCTAACCAGCTAACGCTACAGCACTGGAACTGGCACGCCAGGAAAATGCAAAGAGAAATGGCGGGTTAAAAGAACGCCGCTTGCGTCATCACAACACACAGGCCCCGCCCACAATATTTCCCGCATTGCCATGTAAATACTTCTAGGATGAATGGAAGAGGTTGTAATTCGCAGTATTTCTGGTGTGGATAACTTTGAGGTTTAAATACTGTTGCAAAGTTGTGGGAAGGCCTGAGGAATTCTTTTTAATTGTAAGAAGTAGATGCACTCCAAAAAGCATTGTTTTAATATGTATTGCACCATATGCTGCTGAGAGATGATTTTTAAGATCGTGATATAAAGATGCACTACATTTGCATTTTGCTCATGTGTCATTTGCCGTCTTTTGGAAACTGTTTACAGCAATGCAGAATCAGTTTAATTTTAGTATCATTGAGATGCTATTAAAGCATCTGCTCTAGATAGTATTGTAGTTTTTGTTGACATTTTGAACGAGTTTTTATGTGGAGTTTTTGTAATTGTTGTCATTTGTGTTTTATGTATTGTCTGTAGTTTTATTAATATTTTTGTTAGTTATTTTTAATAGCATTTCAACTAATTGCCAAAGCAACATTTCTCATTTATATTATACATAGTTAATTCCACAGACAAAATCTAGCAAAACCTTTGAAGTGTGTATTTGTAGCCTGCATGAAAATGCATGTTTTTAACAGTTTCTTTATTTGTGAAAAATACTGTATGATTACAGAATCAAAAAGTTGCTATCAAAAGTAAAAATGTTTATTTTACAGGTTTATTTCTTTTTTACATTATTTTTTTCTATTGATTAATTTTAAAGTTATTTACGTCTAATTAATAAATATGTACAAAACATAAAAACTTGAATTAGTGTATTTAGACTATGCTTATCAGTTTTAGTTATTTTAGTACATGAAGTTAAACTAAATGGAAATGAGAGAGGTTGCTTTTCCAATTACCTAAAATAAACTACTTTTTCAGTTATTTTGAGCTACATGTTTTTTTTATGGTTTCAGTTAACTATAATAACCCTGTTCTGCACAGAATAAAAGAACATGGTGCATTGCAACACAGCACTGAAAGAACTTTATCCATCCAAACCCACAATGACGCAACTATATGTTTCTCAACAGCCACCAATCAGTGGTTTATTCCTGCTGTCCGGGGTGACATTCCTCCCGGCTGTGCTGCATATGGATTTGTGTGCGACAGCACCAGACTCCTTGTGTTCGGGGGCATGGTTGAGTACGGAAAGTATAGCAACGATCTTTATGAACTACAGGTAAGTCTCTCAGCATCATCTTTAAGGTTGAGCTCAATAGAAGTGACTGTTGTTTTTTCATAGTATCAGCCCTTATATTTGTCATAATTCATTAATTCTGTCATATACTTCACACAGGCCAGTAGATGGGAGTGGAAACGTTTGAAGCCCAAAGCCCCCAAGAATGGCCCACCACCATGTCCTCGCCTGGGCCACAGCTTTTCCCTGGTTGGAAACAAATGTTATTTGTTTGGTGGACTGGCAAATGACAGTGAAGATCCCAAAAACAATATTCCCAGGTAGAAGGCCTTGTACAGTTTATGCTCAAACTAATTGATAAATGTTTGAACGGCAGATCTGCAAATAAATCGTTTCTCCATTTCTACTCCAGATACCTGAATGACCTTTACACTCTCGAGCTACGCCCGGGTTCTAACGTAGCAGGCTGGGACATCCCCATTACATACGGTGTGCTTCCCCCTCCTCGGGAGAGCCACACTGCTGTTGTCTACACGGAGAAAACGTCCAAAAAGTCTCGTCTCATCATCTATGGCGGCATGAGTGGTTGCCGTCTTGGGGACCTCTGGACTTTAGACATAGGTGAGAGAAAGTATTGGCTTAAACTATTTGTTCAAGAAATGCCAAAGCTATAACATTAAAGGGGTCCTATTATGCTTTTTCACTTTTTCAACTTTAGTTAGTCTGTAATGTTGCAGTTTGAGCATAAAAAAGATAAATTCAAAAGGAGATATTTTATTTAACAGAAATTTAAATTTTTGAAACTTTTCAAAAACTACAACGAACGACTCGTTTGGACTACAACGCATATTTTCCGGGATTTGTGATATCACAAATATTGACGAATGGGACGAGACCTGGTTGAGCTGCACTAGAGAAGGCAACGAGTGTTATCACTACGTCGGAGACACGCTAGCTTTCCCAAGGCAGATGAACTTAGAGCGGTTACAATCATCCGGGTTTAAATCGTGATCAAATTGATTTGATTTTGAGCAATATTTACACTGAAGCTCGCAGCAGGCGGCTATGGTAAGGGGCATGACATTTCCCGACTAGGCACCGAGTGCTGCCAATTAGAGACCTGCGCGGGACGGATTTTTCAGTCCCGCTCGCACCCGCTCCTGCAAGATTCTGTCCCGCGCCCGCCCGCTCCCGCAGAAATATATC